ATATATATATATATATATATATATATATATATATATATATATATATAAAAACACTGGCCCCACTATCCTCCTTCAAGAGGAGCACATTCCTAACAGGTATTGTCCAGTTCTGTTATATAAATAAGTTCTTTTACACTGAAATATGTCTCAATTTCAAGTGTGTCTGCATTTTTGGAAAGATGCCTGTCTGTTGCTTGTCTCATACCTACATCCTTTGATTAATGTGATTATTTTAACAGTTAAATGATGTTTTGTGTAGGTTTTAGTTTTCAAGACAGTTGGCAATGGATTTAAGAAAAATATGGAAGTAATTTGCAGTATTCTGTGTGTACTGAGCGGTGTTTCTGATGCAGTCTGGCTTTTCCTCTTTGTACAGAATACTACGAAGAAGTGTATAACAACTTGTATGCGCTGGCCTGTTACTTCGATAATCCTGAAGACAAGTGGGTGCGGAATCACTTCTATGAACGGTGCTTTAATGTTGCTCAGCTGATCAAAGTTGATGGTGGGAAAAAAGAAGCAGAGGCGCAGGCGCACATGGGCCTTCTGTTTGAGGAAGAGGGTAAGTGGGCACTCTCTGGGGAAGATGCGGGGGCGGGGGAGATCCTGAGACCAAAACCACGTGAAAGTTAAGAAGAGGACCTGAGTGTAAGGACGCAAATTATTGCAGTTAAAAAGCAAAAGCATGGGACTGGCGAGTCCGCGTCAGTGTTCTTCGAAGAACCGTCCCCGCGCGATTACTTGCTGTCCCGGCAGGTGCAGCAGACCTCGAACAGCCAGCATTTCTTACTGAATCATTCCCACACCTTTTCTGCATCCCCTACCACCTTTCTCAGGTCACATGCTGCAGCCTTTGTGTGTTTGTAGTGGTTTGGTTTTGTCTGGTTACAGAACTGTTTAGAAAAACGGAAGGTTCCTTTGTGAATTTCTTAGTGCCCGGATCAAAGTATAAAAACTATAGAAATCAGATTCTACCTTGAGATTTTACAGTAATTGCTGAAGGAAATGCTTCTTTAAAAAAAACTTTGCATTTAATGTTATAATAAGACAACCCAATAGCAAAACCAAATAGCAAAACAGTCAGGAAGCTGAAGAGTGATGACTGATTTCACATAGAACGTTAAGAAATGCATGAAAGGGTGAATGCAGATAATATGCATGAAGTATGTAGGGGAATGAAAACAGTTTATGAAACTGCTGTTTTAATGCTATGGTTCTCTGGGGAGGTGGTCAAACTGATTGTATATAATATTATATATCTTACATATAATGAAATATGTGTAATATATAACTTTGTGGCTAGGGTGATGTAGGACTCTGCTTCTGTGCTCTGGGAAGCTGCGGCTAAGTTGGCCGCACCTTAGAGCACAGAGGGCAGTACAAAATGACCAGGGACCTTGCAATGTGAACAACACAGGTGATGTTGGGAACACCAGCTGCAGTGAGGGATCCTGCAGGCTGGACTCAAGCTGAGAGGTATTGATAGGACTTGGAGGTTGCTGGGATTTAGAGCCATGCTCTGAAAGAGCAAACACAGCTGCAGGAGGCAGCAGGAACTCCCTGCTTTCAGTGGGAATCACAGTGGAAAGGACAGGCAGGAATGGCAGCATCTGTAGTTTGAAGGTGAGCCTCTACACATTCCCACAAGAAGCGGCAGGTCTTTCAAGCAAACCTGCAATGCCAACCATGGGGAAGGGAAAGAGGAGGGGATGTGGCTGAAAAGCTGCTACCATGATGTAACTCAGATAAGAGGTATCTCAGAGGATGAATTATGCCATTCCATTACAATTCCAGTTTGTGATGTCTAAATAAACAGTTCTGTGCTTATTTAGTTGTAAGTCATGAACTTACAACTGAGTAAGATCCATTCAGTATTCAGTGTTCCCATGCATTTATCAAATACTGGTTTAGAGCATAGTGCCCAGGGTGAACAAGACCAAGTCCTGGTCCACAAAGAACCCACCTGTTTCTAAACATGTGGCAGAGTGTGTTGAGTAAATTCACATTACTGAGTGACCAATCTCTAGCCCTTCACCTTGCCAAGTGGATAATCTGGGCCCATCTTCTTCCTCCTTAGTTTTAGAATCTTTGAGCACATTTTGATGACCATATTTATGCATCGCTATCTTTACTGTCTCATTTGGTCATTTGTTCATTCATTCCACAACTCTTGGGAGTGCCCCTTAGCCCTAGCTCTGTGGTTGGTCATCTCGTTTGATGACATACATAGGAGCTGGGCCGAGATGAGTGTGGGAAGTGTGATCCCTGGGGACTGGTGCAAGGTAACACTTGCGGATGTTTGCACTGCTCACATTTAGATGCCCCACCCTTATACCATGGTAAATTGCACTAGTGTGTGTACTAAAGCTAGTGTTTATTTTAGAAACATTTTGAAGACTTTGCCTTCAAAGCTATGTTAAAGTTGGAGTCTGTTGGTTTACTCTAGAACTGTCAGATGTAAAATTGTGTTATCTGTGCCCTGAACAGTACTAGGCTCTAGAACCACATTTGCATTGTGGTATGAACAAACAGCCAAGAAAGCGCTGGCTGCGAGTCTAGAGATTGCATGCTTGTGATGAGGACTGTCCGTGCAGATACTGCGGCCTGGGGGAACTTACAGAGTATCAATACATGTAGCTAGAAGCAGGGACCCACCTGCTGTAGAGTTCCTGCTGAGGCCATGGTGCTGTCCCTTCCACTTGTCTGACCTGATTGGTCCAGACAGGCTAATGGAGGCCCCCACAGCAACATCCAGTCAACAGCTGTGCTCCGGGGCAGGTGGCAGCTTCCTGATTCCATGGGTGCCCCCCTTCCAGTTTAAAGAGGATGCTAGCCAGCAGATGGCAACGGGCAGGTTGTCAGGGCCCGAGCTAGCAGGCTATGGCTCAGGGCAGGGCTCCAGCTCCCCCAGGGAACTGTGGAGCAAATGAGGGACACAAGCAGATGCCATTGTCAGAGACTGGGCACATGGCTGCATTCAGGGGTAATATGCAGCCCACAGGCACAAATGTAACCAGTTCTCATCCAGAGCTTCTTGGCCAAGTCAAATATAACAGAGACTCATATCCCTGCTGCTAAGGATGGGTGAAGTATCCAGTGAGCCCTGGCTCCCATCTCAAAGACAGGCAGACTTTCTTCAGTGCGAATATCCATGACTTATGGCGGAGTAGTAGGCACGGAGCACTCAGGTGCTGACTAAGTCTTGCAGTAACTCACTGGCTGCACCCTCCTTTAGAGTCATGATCTTATCTGTAAGGACCGTATCATGCAGCCAGTGCTCACACTGTATCTGGTGGCCATGGCAGACAGTACCCAGATACTGGAGCAATAAGAGATGTGCTCTTTAATTCTGGGGCAGGTCTTGGAGGGCCAGAAGAGCCACCAGTCAGACTTGGGAGAACATGTGACCAGAGGGAAGTGCCATCTCTCGCTTTAGATGAGCCGAGGCCAAGTCACATAGCAAGATGGCATGACACATTAAGTCCCCCCCCCCCCAGATTGACAACACCAGCCTTTTCTCTGTCATTATAAGAGGGCTGAGTCCCTTTCCTCTGTCATAAGAGGGCTGGGTCCCTTTCCTCTGTCATAAGAGGGCTGGGTTCCTTTCCTGTCATCATAAGAGGGCTGGGTCCCTTTTCTCTGTCATCACAAGAAGGCTGGGTCTCTTTCCTCTGACATGAAAGGGCTGGGTCCCTTTCCTGTCGTCATAAGAGGGCTGTCCCCACTTGCAGTTTCAGTAGTCTTATTGTTGGATAGAGGGAGTGGGAGAGATGCAAAGCCACATCGTTGGTGGAGGAAATAGCATCCCTTCCTCCCCCTTCCACTTTCAGTGACTTAGTAACTGAGCCAAGCCTTGCTTTTTGACAGACAAAAAAAAGACAGACAGACAGACAGAAGCAAGAAGACTTGCTTGTTTCCATAGAGCCGTGTGGAGGCCAGTCTGGTTTTGGATGGACTAGGTTGGAAGTGTCAGCACGGACAACTTAGCCCTTCACTTCAGTCCACCTTACCCTCCCAAGTCCTGCTCCTTCTCTCCTCAGTTCCAGTGTGTGGCTTCTGAGGACCATTTCCTGCACTCAGCAGTCCATTCCACTTCACTCCAGACTGCATCTAGCTGCTGTAGTAGATGAGAAAGGCATCCCTATGTTTTCTGGAGTGATAGATGTTCAGGGCAGAGCATGTACACAGATAGGCGGGGAACTCTTGGAAGAAGAGCTTAAGAAGGGCATATTTTCCAGTCCAGAGAGCCCGCCACCACAACATTAGTGGAGAGACTGTTAAGGTTAATTGGTCTTTACAACATAGACCCTAAATTCTTTCAGTGACTGGGAATCTTTGGAAGAAAGAGAGCGCCTTCATGCTTGCCTCACCTCAGTTCAAGACCTGGAACTGATTGCTAACTGTCAGTCTGCTGGATAGATACTAGGTAATGTCTCTGTACAGATTACCTGGAGGCCAGATGTACACTAGGGTGACCACCAGCTCATTCCTGTCTCATCCAGGAGTGGAAGGCAGTTCTGGCAGTAATGGTAGAGGAGGGCACACCACTAAGGGACTGCCTTTACTATTTTGATTTCATTGAGAAGATGTAGAATTTCTGCTCTCTCTTTTCCTTGTATACTGATGATGAGAGATCAGACATCTTCCCCTATCTCCTCTATCCATCTTTTTAAATTAATGCATGTGTTTTGGGAGCATGTGGAGGCCAGAGGTCAATCCTGGGTGTTATTCCTCTGTTTCTTTATTCTTGGGTTTTGGAGACGGTGTCTCTCACTGTCCTAGAACTTGTTCATTAGGCTACACTGACTAGGTAGTCGAACTGGGATCCACAGTGCTGAGGCTGTAAGCATGTACCACTCTATCCAGTTTTTAGTTTCTTCATGTATATGTGTGTGAGGTCTGTGTACATGTTTGTGTGGAGGGGAGGCTTGTGTGTATGCACACATGCATTTTTGTCTGAGTATTTATCTTGATTATTCGTAAACCCAGAACTCACTAATTCAGCTGTTCTAGTTAGCCATCTTACCACAGGGACAATGTCTCTGCCATGGCTGCCTGTCATTTACATGAATTCTGGGAGTCCTAACTTTTATCTTCCAATTTGGGCAGCAATCAGTGTACCCACTGAACTATCTCCCCAGAACCCATAACCAACTATTTTACATGGGTTCTGGGGATTGAAGTCAAGTGCTCTTGCTTGTATGCAAACACTTTACTGATAAGCCATCTCTTAGACTCCTAGTCCTTAATGTGCAATAATACTTTTGTACTCTATAAAGATTTGTCACTCATATAGGTTTAAGAAAATGCTGATTGGCCAGTAACCAGACAGGAAGTATAGGTGGGGCAATCAGACTAAGCAAAATCTGGAAAAAGGAAAAGAGAGACACAGTCACCAGTCGGGCATAGAGAAAGAAAGATGAGAATGCCTTACTGAGAAAAGGTACCAAGTTATATGGTTAAACATAGATAAGAATTATGAGTGAATTTAAGTAATAAGAGCTAGTTAATAATAAGCCTGAGCTAACAGGCTGAGCAGTTTATAATTAATATAAGCCTCTG